TTTAGGACTGTCCCTCAAGAGCTCAGCTGGATCTCTGGGGGAGCGGCTGCCACCCTCACAGGCACAGGCGGATTTCCACACAGTGCTTACCTGAGATGCAGGCTCACCTAACTTACCGTATTCTTATCAACATTGTTCTATTACATAGTATAATGAGACAGTATCAAAAGTAAACATGTAATGACAGTGCATATTAACATTCTCGTAGGAGTGGTTAGACAAGCCGATGCCTCATTTCTACATTTTGTCATTAGCTGTTCTCCTAAAGTTTCAGTGTACCCTTACAGAAATAAAGCAGCATATAAATAAATAACGCCTCGTCTTTTAATTCTGCCCATGGAGTTGCTGTAAGGGGACACCATTGCTCTCAGACCCTCGATGACCGCTTTCCTTCGAGCGCGTACTCGGTTCGGAGCGGTCGCACAGAACAGAGGAATTTAGAAGCAGACTGAAGCCCGCAGCGGCACTCGGGTCCGGTCAAAAACCACCACGCCCCACGCTGACCCAGAAGCAGCATTTCCCAGATGGTCACATCCCTTAAAAAGGGCCCTGTTTTCTTGGGCCAGGAGCAGGTGGGGTGAGAAGAGAACGACAGCCGAAGGGCTTGTTGGGCTGTTCACAGCCCCCGTTCTGTTGGCCCCCCTCTCCGTGTGCCCTCTGGAGCATGGATCCACGTGGAACACTGTCAACCCCTGTTCCCTCCACCCTTGGGCCCGCGGGAGAAACCCGCTCCCCCTTGTGGCCATGGCTGAGCCAGCGGGGAGAGGGCATCGGGGCCTCAGTAATAAAAGCAAAGGGCGGGACCCCTGTGGAGCTACCCAGACCTTGTTAGCAGGGAACCCAAACCCGTCAGCAGGAAACCACGGGCGTTTTTATGAACGGGTGATAGTCCCCTGTGTCTGTTTCCCGAGAGAAATCGGCAGTTAAAACCACGAGGAGAGTGGTTGGGGCCCGAGGGAGCAGGGGTGGGGTGGGGAACTGACACACCACCCCCTGGAAGCAGGCTGGGTTACTGAGATTGCGGCAAGGGACAGGGCCCAGAGGGGACGAGCCTGGGATGGAGAGGGGACTCCACTCAGGACTCCTCCTCGCGGAGAGACCACAGCACACTTCCAGTGCCCTCCACCCCAGCGGACTGTGGGCCTTTGGGCACCGTGGCTGCTCTCCTCTTCCCCTGCCACCCCAGATTCTGTGCTTGCCCTCCATCCTGTCACCCTTTGGCCTTCCTATCCCATTCGGCCTGCAAAACCCCAGCCCACACCAGGGCCGAGCTCTGCCGTGTAAAAAAAAAAAAAAAAAAAAAAAAAGCCACACCGCTAGCTGCAGCCACCAGCACAAGAACTCCAGCCTCCACCCTGGCCAACTTGGCTTTGCCTTCCCTACGCCAGCACTCCCCGCCCCAGATACCTAATCCTCACAGTCAACACTGGCACTATCGTCCCCATTTTCCAGATGAGAGACGTTCAGAGAAGTTAAGAGGTCTACCTGAGGTCACACGGCTAACGAGTGACAAATCTCCAGCCTATCACTTATGACCGGACATTGCCATAGAAATGGTGAGCCCCCCAGGGTAGGGCAGCGTCTGATGCATCACTGTGAGGAAACTGTCCGGTTTCTGCTCGGTATTTCATTTGAAGACTGACCCATTAAGACTCAGGAGGAAGGAGGGGAGATTCCTAGTTGACAACTTTTAATCAGAAAATGCTCTTCTCCCTCATAACCAGGGGGATCAGCATCTCCAGAACGCACCTACTTGTGGTCAACAGGGTGGGTTCTGGAGCAGACTGCCTGGGTTCAAATCCCAGCTGCTCTGCCATTTTCTATGCCACTGAGACCACAGGCAAGTTCCCCTAACCTCACTCAGTTCGTTTCCTTGCCTGTAAAATGAGACCGAATTCCTACCCTCCAGAATCACACGCAGATTACACGGTAATAATACAAATGCCTAATAGGGCGATGGACACCTGGTCAAAGCACTCAAATAATGTTAGCAATTATTTTCATCTCCGGCCCCAAACGGCATATTACCTACCATATGAACCACAAGACCCTTTCCACTCGCGAAGCAGGATGAGGTGTCGCCTCTACAATCAGCCTTGAATTTGGGCATCAGCTCTGCCTCTTCCTAGTTGTACGACATTGAACAAGTACCAATCTCTACAAGTCTGTGTCCTCCTAGGTAAAAATGGATACCCACCTTCACAGGGTTTTAAAAAGATGCCTAATAAAGTACCTGGCATCATGGCACGCGTAAACGTAACTGCAGTTATTACGAGACTTGGGGAACCCTTGGATATACCCATCCAGGAACCCTGGAACTGGATCAGTGGAGAGGGAGACCAGCGGCAAGGTGGCCTCTCCAGGGCCTGCTTCAATGAGCCAGGTCTGCAGGGCCTGGGGCACCCAGCGGGCCACAGGGCACAGACCCCTGATGAAATGTGGCGGCCGGCCTGCCTCCAGGCTTCTGCTTCTTGGCACTGGCTCCTGCTCCTGTTCCTGCCTCGCCTCCTGATCCTCTGCCTCTTGCCCCAAGGCGTGATTCCACAGGACTAAAAGGGCACTCGGAGACCGCAGCACAAATTCACGTGAAAATGCACGCGAAGTCACACAGCAAGCTCACGGCCACCTCAGCTAAGACGCAGGACTTCGAGTCCATCTGCCACCCTCTGCAGCATCCCATACTGCACCGCGGTGGCTGCCAGGGGTCAGAGCTGTTTGAAGGCTTCGTACCTGTGCAAGATGACACAGGCGTAGGAGACATGCTCATACGTAGAACCCGCTGGCAGAAGTTAGGGACCTGTCAGGGGGAGAGATGCCAAGAGACTACCCAGAGAGGAAAGGAAACTTGAAGCAACCCTGTCCCCTAACAGGCCCAGGCACCAGCCCACAGCAAGGGGGTAAGGCTATGCCGGCGGCCACCACCTCGGAGCTGTAGACAGGGAGCTTTGGCCACGTTTCGGGTTGTGCGCACACCACACGACATCCTGCTTCAACAGCTCCGATGTGGAGCCCAACAATACGGAACGGGAAGTGGGGGTGGCTGCCACCATCTCCTAAGCGCCAGACCCCGCAGACTGTAAACAAGGACCTCGCCCGATCAAAAAACCTAACAGACCAGAACGCGTTTCAAGATTGAAAACTAAACACTTACAGGCAGATCCGAACATCCGTTTTAGCTGTGTACAGGAACAGCAAGGTCACGAACAGATGTGTAGAGAAGCACAATCGCTGCCCGCGCGTGCACTCACTCAAAGATGTCAAGTGTTCCCCACCATGGCAGGCACCAAAAGCTATGCCCCTGAAGGGGCTGGGGGAGAGGGGTGGGGAGTGAATGTTTAAAGGGTACAGGTTTTCTGAGGAGGAGATAAACGTTCTAGAAACCAGGTACAGGTGGTGGTTGCACAACACCGTGCATGCACTAAATGCCACCAGACTGGGACATGTTGTGAATTTCACCACAGTAAACAGATGGTTGATAACTACTGGCCTCAAGTAGAAGAAAGAGCCACCACTGGCCAGAGTAATGAGCCCTGGAAATAGGTGCAGAATTTGAAAATTCACATCTAGTGTCCCAGGAGTGGAGCTCTACCAAGTCACCAAGTGGCTGAAAGGGAGCATCAGAGGATTTGCTTACCTTTTATTGAACTGCCTCTTGCCCGTGTTCAAAGCTTGGTTAACAATTGGGGTCACCTTTACACCACGCAACAATATTTTTTTGTTATTATAGTGAAAAGAAGACTTGCTTTATTTGCAAAGTTTATTTCACAGAGCACACATATGAACAGAAGAATAACGGAGTGTTCCAACATGTGACATTTGTGCAGAAAAATACCAGAAACTCATTTGTTAGGATGATTGTCTCTGCCTTCTTCATGAAAGAGCTAGTGTATAAAAATAGTTTTCAAATCTAAGGCACCAAGCTCTATCTGTAACACTGGTACAGTACACTGAATGGCAAAGAACTAAGGTATCGGAAAGAATGATTCTTTCCTTTAACTAATCCAAGACCGGTGGCTAGAAAGGAACTTTGTGATTCACTACAAAACTCATCAGCAGTAGGACAACTATTGTGCATTCAAGTTTTAGTTGCTGGTTTAAGCAGAATTTGATGGATTTCAGGAAGCTATCCCAGTGTGCGTGTGTGTGCGCACATGCATGCAAACGTGTGTGCAAATGTGTACGTGTGTGTGTGCGCACGCGCATGCGCGCCTATCTATCACGGCGACCAAAGAAAGAATGGCCCTGCTCTTGTACTCACTTGCAGCCAGTGGTTAGAGAAGGCCGAGCAAGTCCGGCTCCACGTGCCAAGGCTGAGCGCAGACCGAAGGCAGGACTGGAGAGCACGAGGAGAAAAAGATGGCGCGCCAAAATCCACTGGGGGGATGACACGTGCCCCACCACACAACAGCCACATAGTGCTGCAGGCACAATAAAAACAGTGCACGTTTTTGGAAATAAACCCCCC